ATCCCTCCCCAGTTGTGACAATCAAAAATGTCTCCAGAAATTGTCAAATATCCCCTGGGGGACAAAATCATCCCCAATTGAAAACCACTGATTTAAATAAAAAAAGGAATTTTGAGTGCTGTTTCTGGAAGACCCTTTGATGGGCTGTTTGAAGACGTCACCACAGAATCCATCCATTCTTCTTGATAATCTAGGTTTTATCCCTGGATAAAGTCAGACAACCAGGAAGCTGTGATTTGGGCTGTACTGTTTTGAAACCCTGAAGCACTGAGTGTGGCTTTGGTATGACACCACTGGTTTATGTGAGAACTGCTGAGAAATAACCAAAGGAAACTTACCACTTTATCAGTGGTTTGCTATTGAGGGCACTGAGCACTACATAATCTAAATAATAATGACACATCACAGAAATTTCTTCCTACTTAAGTGACATGAATGATTTACTTTTCTAGAGGAGCTTTCTCCTTAAGGAAAGGTAAATCACTGATTTTTTATTATGGCCATGTGGTAGATTATATTTCCCAAAGACAGCAACAATAGCATCTCACATTCCAAAACACCTGAAAACCTTCTGCCACTCCGCCATGAAGAGGTGCAGCCTATTCCCCTCCCTGTGAATCTAGCTGGTCTTAGTGACTTGCTCATAAGCAACAAAATGCTGTAAAAGTGGCAGTGCACAACTTCTGAGGCTAAGGCAGAAGAGGCCGTGCACCTTCAGTGTGGTTCTCTCAGAATCCAGCCTCGTGCTGTGAGAAGCCCATGCTACACAGAAGGCCATGCCTAAGTACTCCGGTCAACAGCCTCAGTTTAGCCTAGATTTTGAGTCATGTCATCCTGAATAGCAGACACGGGAATGAGGAAGCCTCCAGAAGATTCCAGTCCCCAACCTTTTGTGTCTTCCCAGCTGACATTCCAGACATCATGGTGTGGAGGCAAGCCAGCAGTAAAGGATTAACACAGCGAGTCTGGGTTGTCCACATCTCGCACGTGACAAATAAAGGTTGGGCTCTGTCTGTGGGAAGCAACCTCTAAGCCCTTGAAATATCTCTGTTTACTGGGAGCCTTGGGCCGCACCAGATAGTCTACGCTATCAGTGTGATTTATGGTGGGGGCCTTGGGCCACACTGTAGCAGCCTGGCTTCTGACAGGGCTGGAGACTAAGACCAGCCATTCATGTAGTCAGCTATGCCTGTGTGACTGACCATAAATAAAAACCCTGGACACTAAGGCTTGAGTGAGCTTCCCCTGACTGGCAATACTCAATGTGTGTTGTTACACCTCATTGTTTGGAAAATTAAACACTGTCCACATGACTCTACCGAGAGAGAACAACTGGAAGCTTTCGCCTGGTATTTCCTAGACCTGGCCTTAAGCACCTTTCTCTGCTGCTGATTTTAATCTGAATTATTTTGCTGTAATAAACTATAATCAAGAGTATAACAGTTTGCTGCGTACTGTGAGTTCTTTCTAGCAAATCGTTGATCTTGGAACCCAAGAACATTCAAGCCATCACCGTGGGGTCCTGACTTACTTCCTGACCCACTGAATCCATGAGGATGATGAAAATAAATGTACACCACTAGGTTTTGGGGTGGCTTGTTATGCAGCAATAGCTAAGTGGAACAAGGAATACTAGAGACAAGTTTGCAGCTCAATTTTATTAACTATTTAGAACCTCATGGGCTATAATCTATGTTCTAACTTTAAACAATTATATAAACATAAGATTTTCATAGTCTCATTGCAACGTGGCTGTGAAGTTGATCTTTTGCCTCAGTATTTTTCCTGAATTGTGACATCTATCCTTTCATGCTGTATCTAGTATAGAGTAGTCTTCATAAATATTAGATAAATATATTCTTTCAATATGTGTATTATTAAACCTCCTCAAATCCACTGGAAAGACAAATGGAAAATAAATATATAAAGAAACAACTCACTTGGGACTTGAACATTTTCTGGAGCCCTTAGACACAGCCAGCAACTCTAATATCTGCTCTGTTGTTGATTCTGGGCTCTTCTCTGAAGCTCTAACTGGTCTCTGGTCAAGCATGTAGTGTTGATCTTGGTACCTTCACTTCTTTCCCTCATAGGAACTACATAATCCCGGGAAGCCAGGACCTGGCGATTACAGAAATTCACTGCTATAATAAACTGCAACTATGAGTAAAACAGGTTTTTCAGAGTTGTGTGAGTCCTTATTTGTAGGTATGTACGTATTTTAGATACACACACATTTATGAATATCTAAAATTTAACTGTATTTTCTTCAGCTGGTAGGTTAATAGGGTAGTCTAAAGAAAAAAAAGTAATACATATTACCCAATGGTTTACTTTATAAGAAACATATAATTATTTTATAATAAAGAAACACAAATGAAGCTATCTTCATTAAATTATGTAATTGTACCAAAACTGTACTCAAAACTAAACCGACATTTAGAGAAAGACTGTTATAAAGACATAGGGTGAAAACAAAGTCAAATGAGAAAATTTTAAAAGCCTAAAAAGTCCAGAGAAACAGGTACAAACACCAGAATAATACTTGCTAAACTGTCTTGGGTACCTATTATGTGCTAGGTACTTTAATTGTCTGAGTAGTTGGTAGTGATTTTTTTTTAAATGAATGGGAAAAGAATCTCAGAGAGGTTGAGAAACTTGCCCAAGTTCACACCGTAAGTGGCAGAATATAGATAGAAACCTACGTCAGCCCAAATCCAAATTGTATATTCTTTTCTCTGAGCTAAACTTACCTGCAGGTGTTCTGACCACTTATCTGGAAAACCTGCAAGAATGAATTGAAACACATTAGTAAAATAAGAGTTCAGCGAGGAAATGAAAGAGAAAATATTTTTTTAAATTAGCTGCTTTTATATCTACCAGAAAATAAAAAATAATAAAAGTACAAGGGAAAGAGAAGCTATTTGCAGCAAACATAGATATAGTCTAAGGAATAAACTTAACAAGTAATGTCCAGATCCATATGAGTAGTTCAATACGTCAAGTCTATGCAAATTATTGCAAAGATTTGAAGTAACTTCAGTCAACATTGCAAGAAGATCCACAACATAGAATACCATGCAGCTATCAACAAGACTTTGTACCAAAAGTCAGTAATACTGGAACAATTTTATCACACAAGGCTATGTTTCTTTTAAGAAGCAAATTACAAACTACATATGCAGTGTTATCACAGCCTTGTAATAAAATGAGTCATAGAAAAGTATGGAAAAGGAAATATACCAAAATTTTAACACTGTGTATCTCTGGCTATCAGGATTTTGGATGTAGGAATGTCCTCTCACGTATGTGGAGGACCAAGAAGGGAAGATCCCAGAGAAATATGCAGCAAATTTGGAAGCCAGAGGGCCAGACACCACATCTTTTCATAATAAGCATTTTACTTTAGATTTGTTTAGACCTTGATCATTTCAAAGCATTGTTCATTGTTGTGGAGACAGTGAGAGGAGGGTTTGGGTTAAGTTAGAAAGCAAGTTTTGAAGAAGGCACTAACACAACCTGTGAGAAGTCAATAAGCTTTAAAACCCTCCAAAACGCAGAGACCTCTCAAGCTCCAACTCCCATAAATCTCTTGGGTGTCAATGCCTAATGGCATCATACCCAAAATATGGACCACACAGCTACTTCAGTTCATAGTTGATGAGTTCTGTCAGATTGTCACTGGTCTATCCAGACCCAAACACTCAGACCCCCATGACTCTCAATGACCATTGGAGACCCTCAAACACAAGAAACAAAGCTGCCCCAAGCAGCTGTCAACATGCACAAGGCCACTCCATTTACTGACCACCCCCAATGATGGCCCAGTCACTGACCTCCTCCCCTAAGTCTGTCCCAAACATGGACCTAAGCCAAAAACATCGAAAACACTGAACTACCTACCAAGGATATCTCATCCACTGACGTCCCTTCACGGACACTCCCATTAGTAAGCACTCCCAAGGACGTCCCAATCACTGACCCGGTCAACTGATCTTCTTCCAGGGATGCTCCAGTCGCTGACATCCCCCTCCAAGGCCGCCTTAACAACTGATCTTCCCCCAGAAAACTTTTCAGGCACCGACACATCCTCAAGGGCACCCCAATTCCTGACATCCTTCAAAGACACCCCAATCACCGACCTATCCCCCAAGTGCATCCCAATCACAGAACCACCCCCTAGGTCACGCCAATCACTGCTTTGCCTCCAAGACTGCCCCAGACACTCACCCCCTCCACAGAGGCTAACCCCGAGCCTCTCCAATCTTCCTCCATGCCACTCGAATCCCCGACCATCCCGTTCCCTCAATCACGGAATGCATCCCCCGCCCCACAGCGGCTGGCTCCTCTCAAGGACTCCCCACAGCCCTCCTCTATCACAAACCACAAATCTCCACAAACCCAGCTCAACCTGACTCCGCTCCCAAAACAAGAAAATGAGACCCCTCAAGAGAGTCTTCGCGCACCAGCTGGGTGGGTAGAAAAAGCCACGGTCCACCAATTCCGCTTCAGACTCAAGAAACCCTGCTGTTCCACCTCACTGGTCAAGTTTAACTTCTGTGGCACCCGAGTCTGCGGGCTGCCAACCACCACCCCGGGACGTCCTTCCACGGACAAACATTCGGTTCAGCTTTCAGGTCTTTCAGACAAAGACATTATGAGAGAGTATGGCGGCGCCCTGTTAGCGGATTTACATGGGAGCCGCCATCTTGGAAGACCGTCCGTACAACCACTTTCCTGCCCACGAAAACGTTACTTGTCCGCGTTACGTCAATCACCAGCATCCCCAAGGGCGATGTGCGTGCTCTAGCCCGTCTATGGGGGCCCAGAGGTCCATCCCCTTCAGCAAGGCTCACCAAGCCCAAAAATGTCCGCCTTCCCTCTTTGCCGCTGGTACGTGCGCAGCAGCCCAACGCTACAGTGGGCGCGGCCATCTTGATAAAGGTGCACATATCCGTACAGGAAAGGAAGTCGTCCTTTAGAGGGCTGGGAGGAGGTGGAGAGAACTCTGGGAATGCTTCTGGAGGACAGAATAGGGTTTGGGTAAGCCATGGTGGTACAAGGAAGGCAGCTTGACTCACTGTGGACAAAGAGTAAACAAATTGAGTTGAAGGAAAAGATCTTCTCCAACCAGGATTGCCGGTGGGTGGTAGGTGACGTGTCCTGGTGAAAGGTGAAGAGAAAGGACTCCTGGGAGGCTAGAGCTAAGAGAGAGGCCGGGGCTATGCTTTTAACCAAGGTGAGGGGTGGTGAAATGGGGAAGAACAGAAGCCCAGAAATAGTTGGTAGAAATTTTTGTGCAGGCTGTATCTCAACTCAAATGTTTTCACATATAATTTCTAGTGAAGAAGTGATTAGAACTGGAATTGTCGAGTCAAAGAGAATGAAAATTTTTAATTGGGTAGATAATTCTACATGGTTGTCCGAAAATGTTCTATTAATGAATGCTTTACTGGCTGCTACCCTTCCTTTCTCAAGAACTCCAACTTGAAACTAATAGCTGTTGACTGAAATAGAGTCCAGGTAGATATTAGTGGGGTTTATTCAGTAATCAAAGTGAGGAGTTTGAACCTGGGCAAACATATGTTGTTGCATACATCTGTATTCCGTTGTATGATATACCACAGTTTGCTTACCCGTTCATATATTGATGGACACCTGGATTGCTTTTTGTTTGGGGCTATTACGAATAAAGGTGCTATGAATATTCTTGTGTAGGTCTTTGTGAGGACATATCATTTCAGTCTTCTTGAGTAAATATCTAGGAGTGGAATTCCTGCCTCATAGGATTCTCAGTTTCATTTTGCAATTCTCTTAAGTTTAGGAGTTAGTTTTGTAAAGCTTTTTACCCTTTCAAAGCTTTGCATATTGTAAGTAACTTGGATATACTGATAATGGATTTTTCATTTGGGGACATTTTCTATAGGTTTATCATGAAGGAAGCTTGAAAACAACTCTCCTACAAACACACTCCTCCACGCCCAAGCATTTCCTTTCCCCCATTCTTCCATTATAGTTATTTGTTAATTTTGGTTGGATCAGATTTAGTGTTTACGTTATGATGACTCTGTAAATACTATTTATAGCTCAGCCATGTAGTATATGTAATCTAAACTGGGACCCCTCTCCCTGGTCTGTCAGGCGAATCTAGCAAGCAAGCTGCATGGGCTTAAAGTGAGTACATAAATCCATGCTGTATTGTGAAGCAGCCATGCAGGCCATCCTAAGCCTGTTAGATATGACCTTGAAACCCCACATCCCATGATAAAGACATCAGCTGGAGACATCCACAACAGGAAAACATAAAGGGTACCTCGATTTCACGTTTCCCAGCTGCATTTCTTAGAGATTGCGGGAAAAACTAACCACCCTGGTCCTTGCCTCCTTCCACACATAGATAACAATAATTCCCCAAGCCCTGTTTGATGCATAACTGAAAAGCTCATTTATGGTGTCTTTGAAGTACGTGAATATTAGATGTGTAAGCCCTTTTCTGCACATACACTGCTTTGTTAAAAAAAAGTATACAAACTACAGTCATATCTGTGGACCTTGGAGCAGTTCCTCAGAATACCCTGTTGGACTGTGTCCTGAGATTCGAATTCCTCACTTTGACTATCAAATAGACTCCTTTAATTAACCTTTCCCAAGACTCTTTATTTCAGTCGACAAATACTATGTTCACTTTTCCTCTCTTGCACAACTTTTTATTCTCCCTAGAGTTGTCTTACTTATTCCTTCCAGAAACTCTGGCCTTCAGTTCTGACAAAGCCCCGCCCTTGATACTGGCTCCACCCCTGGCACTAGGGAAGCCGGGTACTACAGGTGGAAAAACTCCCGCCTCTCATCGGATTCCCTCTCCCCATTGGCTCCGGACTGCTCTCCTCACCTTTAATGGTTGGTAACCATGTCCTGCCCGCAACGTTAAGCTAGCTTTCTGTGAATCACAGTTCTTCACTTCCTTTGATGGCGTTATCAGTATCTCCCTATAGTGAGTGCTTCTCCAGACTCTTTTCCATCCTTATAATAATATTCCTCCTGCCCTCCGCTTTCAGCCAGAAGCGTTCCTGAGGAATTTGCCTTTTGGCCTATACGATTGCTCTTTTTCCTGTGCTAAAAAGACATTTTGTACGGACACTAACTTCTAAGACGGCTGCGCCCCCTGGGTCGTGCCCAAATCTTTCTTTGTGCAACGTGGATTACTTCTCTCCACAGCTCTTGTGGTGGACGCAGCCCACCGCATGTTTGTCTTGTGTAACCTCGAGCCTCTGAAAATCAACGCAGTTTGCGGCGCAGGGTGTAAAGTGCCGAGAAATGGGGTTGTTTCAGTGGCTTTTCATCGTTCCGAGCCTTCCCTGTGTACTCTGGCCGGAAGGGCCGCTTTGCCTTCTGTACGTCAAATATTGAAAGATGGCCGCTCCCTGGGTCCGCGGCTACCTGGGCGCGGACATATTACCTCCCAGGGTAAAGCCGGAAATCCAAGTGTCCGTGCTCCGTACAAACGTCTCAGATCCTCGTCGGCCGCCGTAGGCGGGCGCGGAGGGTGGGCGAGGCTCGCCGCAGAATAAAGATTCACGGAAGGGCAGCTTCTAGGAGGTCGCGTTTGGGGTCACGAGGAAATCGGGGGTGTGTGTGGCTGTCTCGGTGGAGGAGGATGAGAGGGTCGAGGTGTCTGTGGGTGTCTGAATGGAGTGGAGTCCGTGGGCGGAGAAGAAGCAGGTGGGAGTCGGTGACTGGGGTGTCTGGTTGGGGTGCTTTTGGCGTCAGTCCTGAAGGATTCTGGTGGTCAGTGATTAAAGGCCTGTGGAGATCAACGATTTTAAGTCCGGGGTCAGAGTTTGGTCTCTGTAGTGCTCGGTGATCGAGGACTGGGGTGGGGAGTAGTTTTGTCAGTAAAAGCTGTGTGTGGTCCGGATTCGGGATTTAAGGTGCGGCTCAGTGACTGAGGAGCAGGGGCTCATGGTCAGTGCATCCGGGTGTCTGGTCCAGGTTTCCGGATTATACCAAGGGGGTGTGACTGCTGCTTGTGGGGGTCCAGCTGTGTCAGTCACTGAGAGGGCTGAAGCTGGTTGGTGCTGGTTTGAGGTTCCAACGTTCGTTTCCCCCTCGGTCCTTCAGGTCCTTGACCGCCTAGTTGGCAAATCGCGGTTGGCTTCCCACGTCTCTTCCTCTCGGCCCTGTAAATATGAAAGCTTCGTTGGAGATCGAGGATTAAGCACGTCTAAAGTGGTAAGGTTTCTGCTAAAGATGACGGTGTTGTCTTTCCTGCAAGTTGACTGTGTGTATGCGTACACACACACTCGTGTACATATTTGAGCATCATTCTAACGCAAGTAAAATAACATCTCTTACCCCTGTTCTGTTCCCCAGTGTAACGTTTGTTAAAGTTTTTCATGTATTTTCCTTTTAGTTTTCATTGTTCTATGCTTGATTTTCATAATTGCATTAAACTGCTGAAATATTGGTAAAATTCGCCTCGTCGTTTAATTTCATATCATAAAAATTGGTATAATAAAATTTTTTCTTTAAAAATTTTTTTAAAAAATTTCAGTAAAAGGCAAACCCATGCCGTTATGACTGAAATCACTCAATGTGTGCATTCATTTAGATACAATTTAAATGCTCAAAGATTCAGTTATCACTACTGGGAACAGGTTATGATTCTGCATTTACCCAAGGGTGTGGTTCCTTCTTTCTCATCTCCACCTTGATTTTTAATTTTTTTGCCATTATGAATGGTGTCTTTTTATTTTTGACCTTTTTGTTCTCTTCTTTCAGTTTACCATTACATAGAAGAGCAATTACTTAAAAATATTTTTGTTTCTGCTCATCTCATTGAACTCTTATTATTATGAGCTTCCCAGTTCCCATGATTTTATTCTGAAAATTTTCAACGTATAGCAAAATTTGAAGAATTTTACATTTGAATACTTGTATGTCTATCACCTAGATTTTATTGTCATGATTTTATTGTTTCCTTACCACATTACCTATCCATACTTCGCTCCTCGACTCGTCATTAATCCATCTTTTTACATTTTTGTGTATTTCAGCGTAAGTTGCAAACGTTTATACATTTCCCCTAAATACTTCAGTAAGTGTGTAATTAGAGGTCTACTCATAGCCTTTTTTTTCCCTAATAATAGCTTTATTATTCGTTTTTGGTACAATTCATCTGTTTAAAGTGTACAATTCTGTGGTTTTTAGTATATTCACAGTTATGTGCAACCGTCACCGGAGTCAATTTTAGAAGATTTTCGTCACTTTGAAAAGAAACCCTCTAGTTACCACCCCTTATCCTTCCATTCTCCCCACCTCCAAGCAACCACATACCTCCTTTCTGTCTCTGTGGATTTGCCTGTTCTGCACGTTTCGTATAACATGTGGTCTTTTGTGACCGGCTTCTTGTTTTGGAGGTTTCTCCTGTGGTAGCATGTATGCGTACTTCATTCCCTTTTTATTCCTGAATAATTTTCCCTTATGTGGCGATAACACATTGTGTTTTCCTTTCATCAGCTGATGGATCTTTGGCTTGCTTCCACGTTTGGGCTGATATAAATAATGCTGCCACAAACATTTGTGTGCAAGCTTTTGTGTGGACATGTTTTTACTTCTCTTGGATATAAACCTAGAGTGGAACTGCCGTGTCGTATGGTAAATATGTTTAACTGTTTGAGGATGTGCCAGACTGTTTTCCAAAGTGGCTGCACCATTTTACCTTCCCACCAGCAGTGTGTGAGGGTTCCACTTCCTCCAAATGGTCACCAAGACTTGTTATTTTCATGTTTTTATTATGCCATCCTAGTGGGTACGAAGTGATATCTCAGTTGTGGTTTTGATTTGTATTTCTCTGAAGACCAATGATGTTGAGCATCTTTTCATGTGCTTATGCTGTACATAACTTTGAGGTACGTGTCTTTTCACTAAATATATATTGTTAGCATTTTTAATAGCTGCATAGTATTTCACTGGTTGTGTCTACTTTTACTCACTCAATTAATTCTCTATTAATAGAGGTAAATAATACTTTCATATCAACTTTTCATGTGTGTGCCATTGTTTGCTTTGCAAAAATTCCTACAAGTGGATTTTTGGATTCTAATAATAACTCCTGAAAGTATTCAATACAAAGTGTTAAACTATTTCCCAAAAATATTCCGTCATGTAACGCTGCTATAAGTGTGTGTTTTGGAATGCTATCAATTTTTAGATATAAATTCTGTAATCAGCCATCTAAAAAGTTATTTTTGATAGATGTCCACTCAAATCACTGAAAGTCTTGACTTTTGCTTAATCATATTGGGGGAACTTCTTATGATTGCTTCCTGTTCTCTAATATTGATTAATCTTACTTTATTCTTTGTCAAATTAACTGGATAGCATTTCCAGAATAGTTATAGATAATGGTGGCAATCCTGCTCATCCAAGCCGTGCTCTTGGCTTTAGACAAAGTACTTATTGTTTCACTGGATATTTGCAGGATGTGTTTGATTTTTTTTTTTCAATTAAGGTGAAATTCACCAAATGTAAAATTAACCATTTTAAAGTCTGCTTTTAGTAAATTCACAGTGGTGTGCAACCACCACTTCTCTCTAGTTCCAGAACATTATTATCACCCCAAAAGGAGATCCTGTTCCCATTAAGCAGTCGCTCTGCATTTCCCCCTTCCCCAGACCTTGGCAACTGCCAATCTGCTTTCCGTCTCTATGGATTTACCTATTCTGGATATTGCATATACACGGAATCGTACAATATGTGACCTTTGCGTCTGGCTTGTTTCACTCACTCAGTACACTGTTTCCATGGTGTGTGTTATGTCCTGGGGTACTTCTTCACTGCTTAGCTAGGCCATTTACAACCCTGCCTTAGCCTTCATTTCTTGCTTGCACTGAGCATAGAGATCAGCCAGAGGGAAAGCTTAGGGTCTTCTCATGTCTTTTCTGAACAGGTTTCTTGCCCTGTGAATGTACGTGGCTTTATAAATTCCCCACTATACACTGGTGCTTTTGAATGGCCTAATTTCCCAAAGAAACTCTCTTCCTAGCTTTTCCTCCCAACCTTTCAGCTATGCCTCCGCTGTAATCTTTTGCTCCAGGCAGCTGCAGGTTGTCTGTCTGCCTTGCGGTGTTTTTGAGAAATGCCCGCTGCTTATCCTCCCTGAGTGAGTTCCAAATTAGGAAAAACAGGGATGGGCACGTTGCATCCGTCCTTCAGGTAGGCCCCAGACAGGTTAGAACAGACAAACACGATTCTTTTCGAATAAGGTCTGCTCTGCTCCTTCCAGGACCAAGATCCAGGGTCCCGCTCTGGCAATGCCGGCTGCCGTCTCCAAGACCGTCACCAAACTGGGGAGGGAGTGAAGGAAGGGCAATAAAAATGGCACAGAGCTTTCCTACCATTTTTAAGTTGCCTTTTTCTTGATTCAGCGTTCTCTCTGTTGCTGTGAACCTCTGACTGTTTGTCAGGGTTCTGACAGTTTTTACTTGATACTTTGATGTTTCAGTGGAGGGATGAGCCCTTGGAACTTCCTACTCTGCCATTTTCACTCAGTGAGATTTTCCTCCGTGATGTACGTGATTTTTTTTGTTATTGGCACTTTTTTGAAGAAATAAGTTGATGGAAATGCAACTAAGTTATATCCTGTAGTCCATGCCCCTCTTCCTTGCCCAAAACTAACTGCTTTCTTGAACTTATTTTATATAATGCATGGTTTTATACTTTGACTAAATGTGTATATATCCACAAATCGTAGTTTTTCCTTTGTTTTTTTAAAGATGGGCACCTGAGCTAACATCTGTTGCCAATCTTCTTTTTTTCCCCTCTCTTCTTCTTCTCCCCAAACCCCCCAGTACATAGCTGTATTTTCTAGTTGTAGGTCCTTCTGATCGTGCTGTGAGGGACACCGTCTCAGCATGGCTTGATGAGCAGTGCCCTGTCCGCGCCCAGGGTCCAAACTGGTGAAACTCTGGGCCGCCCACGCAGAGTGTGCGAACTTAACCACTCGGCCACGGGGCCGGCCCCCATAGTTTTGTTCTATATGTTTAAATTTTTTTCTATTGGTTTTCCTTTGTTTCTTTCACATAATGATTAGTGAAGATAGTCTGTTAGGTAATGCTTTGCTTCGTAAATTTGACACTGAGGTGTGTCTACACATTAGGTGTATACAGACTTCTGAATAGGTACATGAGCACACCTGGTTCTAAAGGAATAGATGTCCAGATCCTCACCTTTTGTATGTTTTCTTTCCACAAACCACTCTGTATGAGAATTCCCTTGCTGCGGGGGCATCGTATCGTGCTTGTTCTCCTTTCCCGTCTCCCCTCTCACAGTCACCCCACTTCCACTTCACGCAAGGAAGACATGCTACCCACACAGTCAGAATGTTTCGTTTTATTCCTCCAGAGTGTAATAGTCTCTGGGGCTCCAAATAAAGGGACAGTGGCAATGATGACATCTGGGCGCAGAGGAAATTTATACTCAAAGTGAATTTACTTTTCAGCCCAAAGGTCTTGGCTCCAGGAGCAAGATACATCAAGTGAAGTGAGGAGGAGGTTTCAGGACCTGGCTGTCATCATTTGTGGGGACATCGTTGACCAGAGACTAAGCTTTCTAACCGGAAATTTAGGGCAGTTCAAGAAGAGACTAAAGACACAGCATCCCAGTTACTGGCCATTATTTCCCAATAACAGAAGAAAATGATCAAGGATCAGGTGACTTTTGATTTGCTTTATTCTTTCCTTCATTCTATGATTGATTTCTGGAAGACTTTAAAAGTCAGTTGAGTTAAATGGAAGAGTGTAAGTTGGTAAAGTAGGATTTGTGCAGAAATAAATTTAGACTCTAACTTCGACATCAAGGCAAAGTAGGATCAGGGATATATAGTTCATAGGATCTACACTAAATGACTAATGTTCGAATGTTATGTGTGACAAGAGCATCGTACGGGTTACATTAGCTGTCAGCTTATATCTCATATCTCTGACAGCCATCACAAGCTAAGAATCATGATTACAGGATATGCACTGACCCTGAGGAGAAAGCAGACCAGTTCCTCAGAGGGTGTCACATATATTCCATGGCACTTATGTCTCAGGGCTTTTTTTTTTAATGGTTCTTCGTAGAGGTAATATGGTAGACAGTGTCCTTAATCTCAGCCTTCTCATAAATGCAAAAGCTGGGTTCCTCAGAGACCCCCTTTGAGAACAGACCAAGAGAATTCAGTAGGCACAGTTCTTCACGGGACCATAATAAGGTGACCCGTGGACCTGGCCTTGCAGCAGTCAGGTTAATCTGAGAATAAAACCTAGATGACCTAAGAAAATGAAGAATTATATGACTTTCAAAGGTCCTGTATGAACAGATGGCTGAACTGGTGTTTGAGTTCAGATTTGGCAGTGGGGCATTAAAAGTACTGTTGCCTGATCAAATTCTGGGGATCCCAGAGGGTTTGCTTTAGAACTTCTCCCAATCTAAGATAGTACGCACTCCTTCCCTGTGTTCAGAGCCAGTCCCTCCTGCCTCATCTTTTATTGCCTTTTTAAAATTTAATCATACAAATGTGCCTGGGTACATTTTTAAAACTCCAGTGATTACAAAGCACATAGAGAAAAAAAGTAAGATTCCTCCTTATGCACTTCTTTCCTAGTCCCCTCGTGTGGCTGAAGAAATGGGCAGTAGTTGTGTACGTCCTGTCGCTGCACCTGTGTGTCCATCTGTGTCTGTATAGATATATACAGATGCGTCTATCTCAGCCCTTAGATCTTCGGATAGTGCCTTCATAAACTTTCATGAATTGGGAGATGTTAGACCTCACTCTGTCCTTTATATTTATTATTCTGTCTTTTCTATATCCTGTTATTTTGTCCTTGTGTTGCATTTTGAGTAATTTCAGATTTACCTTCCAGTTCATTATCTCCTCAGTGTATCTAATATGCTGTGTACCTGCCTGGTAGTGTAAATATAAATTATATGTATATATCTGTTTTTTGAAGGATGCTGTTTATTTTCTTGGCCTGCTTAATGTTCTTCAGTAGTCTGGTTCTTTGAATAAGTTTTGGAAAGAAGCTTTTATTCCTCCTGACATATAAAACATACTTATTTAATATATAGTATCTTATAATTGTATCTTTTGGAGTTTCTTCATGGTTGATTCTGATAATGGTTATGAAGATTCATGGTGAATATAGGAATGTGTTTATTCATCCTGATATCTTAGAATAAATTTAATGCCTAGCAAATATTTGCTTGCTTCAAAAATATATATATATGTAGCAAATGCTTCAAATATATATATTGCGAATGTTTCTAGTTTAGCAAGAGGATTTAATGACTACTTATAGAAATTTATGATTTGTTGAATGATGGTCGACTGCACAATTACAGAATATTTTTCTAGACATAGGTTTGAACATGGATAAATTTGGCTTCTTTAACAGTGTAGCTTAAAAAATTCAAAACACCTGAGTATATAGATGCAGCTCTATGGTGAAAATGAGCAGGATAACTTCCTTCACCTTCCTTCCATTTCAATAACTAGAGAAACACTCATGTTAAACAGGACCGTGTAATTACAGGAATTGCTGACCCTGGAGGACGTGGCTGTGGAGTTCACCTGGGAGGAGTGGCAGCTCCTGGCCCCTGCTCAGAGGAACCTGTACCGGGATGTGATGTTGGAGAACTATAGCAACCTGGTGTCCGTGGGTGAGGAGCACTCCCCTGTGTCGCTCAGAGGGTTCCTAGTCAGTGGTGTTTCCATTCTCAGCTTCTGGAAACTTCTGGAGTGTATGAGGTGCTCTGAAGTGGTAGATTTTCAGTTCCCTCTCTGGTTCCAGATTAGAGAGTATAATGTGCCCTTTCCTGAGAGAAAAGCCTTTACTTTGCCAACCTGCAAATTGCACAGTTCCCAAAACATAACACTGTTCTGCGTTGGCAGGCCACAGCCCAATTCAAAGAGCCTGCCTCTTCTGTCATTTCCCATGAACAGGGTGTCAAGCCAGCAAGCCAGATGCACTCTCCAGATTGGAACAAGGAGAACCGTGGACAACAGAAGATGGCATCCACAGACGAACTTGTCCAGGTGAGAGAGAGAGAACCAACAAGGAGGGCAGCCAAGGAAGTCATATTCTAATCATTCAGAGATGTCACAGCTGTGAGGGTGTCTGAGGACATATAAACATAGCCTCCACGAATCTCCCATGGAAGAGCTTTTTCTTTTAGGCGTTTAGAGGAACATACCTCTTTTTGGATTCGATCCCTATTTATTTTGTCTATGTCTTGATTGTTTTCCCCCTGTAGGTTTCTTCTTAGAATTCTCAAATCTTGCCATGCTTCTTCCCCCGTCTTCACTGTATCAACACCTGTTCCTTCTACTTTTCTTTCTATGAAATTCCCCCTTCCATGCCTCTCTCCAAAGAGAGATGTTTGATTTTAGCACTGTCTTCTGGCTGCTGCACCTTCCTGCGCCTTTGGACAATGTTGATTTCCCTTCCTAACATCTACCCGCATCTTTGATTGGGGCTTAGGATTTCAACGTATAAATTTGGGGGGGTGCATAAACATTTGGTCTGTAGTACCTTCTGTTATTTACATCATATATCCTGACTGTGTAGTAAACCTCGGTCCTCCTCCTGTGTGTCTCCTTTACTCTCACCTCACTACCACACTCACAACACTTGTCACACCAGATGCTTTGGGGGTTTTCCCCACAATAAGCAATTCTTTGCAACACCAGCTGAGTGTCCTACAGTTTAACTCAGTTCTGACACTGTCTGCCTGTAGATAGCGTCAGACTCACAGGTTAAGGGTTCAGTACTGCAAGACTGCCGGTGCCTCCACTTCAGACGCCAGTCAAAAGTCCAGGTGGTCACCTGTGCTTCTGACTGACCAGCTCTAGACAGAGGTTCCCATGACCCCCTCCTTGGATTTGATTCATTTGCTGGAGTGGTTCACAGAACGCAGAGAAACATTTTACTTACTTGGTTACTGGGGTATTATAAAAGCATATTATAACTCAGGAACAGCTAGATGGAAGAGATGCATAGGGGGAGGTATGAGGGAAGGGGTTTGGAGCGTCAATGCTCTCTGAGCATGCCGCTCTCCACGAATCTCCACGTGCTCATCAACCCAGAAGCTCTCTGAGCCCTGTACTTTGGGATTTTATGGAGGCTGCACCATATAGGCACAATGGATCATTAACTTCTTTCCAGCCCCTGACCCCTCTCCAGAGAAGGGGGGTTGGCTGAAAAGTCCAGGCTTCTCATCATGGCTTGGTCTTTCTGGTGACTGGCCCCATCCAGGAGTCATCCAGAGTCGCCTCATTAGAACAAAAGACACTCCTGTCACCTAGGAAATTCCAAGGGATTTAGGGGCAGGCAAAGTGTGATTTTTCCTGGACATTTCCCTCCATCCTCAGTTTGTATTACTTAAAGTCTTTGCTGTTCCTGTTGATTTCTTAAAATTTCTCGTTCGCTATTCTCCACCGAAATCACAGCACTAAACCTCACATCTGCTATGCTTTAACTTGCTCTTGTAGTTTATTCTGGTCATTATTTTAGTTATTCTTAAACGATACTGGTGGGCTGGATATATTACCTTGAATCTTTCCTTTTCCTTATGATAGTCTGAGGACATTGAGGCCCAATTAATCATGTTACTAGTCATTCAAGATGGAAATCTCTCTTCTGTCAACGACCTCTGTGATATGGTATCATCTTGCTCATACAGAGTTCGCTTTCCTTTTTGTAAACTCAAAGTCAACTATATTTAGTTGTGTTCCCATTGTGTTCCCTACATGAGAATCTTTCCTTGGTTCATTGCTTTAAATACTTTCTGATTACCTTAAATGTTTTTTGATAGCCTATTACACACTGGCACTGACAGCTGTGAACAACAACAACAAAATTCTTCTTAGAGATTACATGTTAAAAGGAGGAGACACACAATCCATCACAGCAAATATATAAATATGATGTCTTGTGAAAGTGTCAGGAAGATTAATAAAACTGCAAAATGGAATATTGTGTGAGGGGGCCCAGGAGCGGCTCTTAGCAGCTAGGAATGTAGCATAGGCACTGTAATCTTAGGTCCTCTAGGAATGGGAATGCCTCTCTGGTGAGATGCCTTTAAGCAGCTATATGAGGGATATGAGGAGGTGCTTTGGGTGAATTGCATTCCAAAGTAGACAAAATAGCAAGTTCAAAGGCCCGTGGCAGAAATATGTTTGAGGAACCTCAAGGAAGCCTGTGTGAATACAGTGGAGGGAGCAAGAGGGACAGTGGATGGGAGATAAGGTCAGTGTGGTAGGTGGACAGGTCATGTAGGACCTTTCAAGGGCATTTAAAGGACTTGATTTTTTTTTTGGAGCAAGATTAGCCCTGAGGTAACATCTACTGCCAATCGTCCTCTTTTTGCTGAGGAAGACGGGCCATGAGCTAACACCCGTGCCCATCTTCCTCTAGTTTTTACATGTGGGACACCTGCCACAGCATGGCTTGACAAGTGGTGCGTAGGTCCACACTTGGGATCCAAACTGGCGAACCCTGGACAGCCAAAGCGGAAGGTGTGAACTTAACTGCTGTGCCACCAGACTGGCTTCTAGGACTTGACTTTTTAAAATAATGAGATGAGAAAACACTAGGTAGTTTTCAGTAGAGGAGTGACATGAAATAATTTATATTTAAAACAATCACTTTGGCTACTTTGTAGAAAGGAGACAGTAATGATCAGAGGTTGAAGCCTGAAATCCAGTTGGGAGCCTCTTGCTGGAGTACAGACAGAATGCTTGTCTTTGACCTGGGTAGAAGGGGTGAGGGTTGGTTAGCTTCTGAATATGTATATAAAGGAGGACAGAAAGAGTTTTCTATTGAAGTAGGTAACAGGTGTGAATGAAAAATACAAATGAAGGATGATGGTAAGGTTTTTGGCATGAGTCCCAGGAGGATTGGCGTTGCCATTTCCTGGGGTGGAGAAGGAGATGTTGGGTTGAGAAATCAAGTTCTGTTTTGGACATTGTAATTTAGGTGGGTTTGTTCACATCCGAGTGGAGCGTTCTGCTGCATTTGGATATACCCCAGGAGTTCAGGGAGAGTTTAGGACTAGAGATAGAAATATGGACTGAGTGAGATCTCCTATGATATGAGTACAGATTGAGAAGAGCCTTGGATGACTAGCAATCAGAAAGACAAGAATTGCTTAAATGCATGGTTTCCTAATGCTTGAATCTACACCTCTGCTTTTGAGAGTGTGTTCTTGATAGATTTGGGGTCACAGCCTGGGCTGGACTATATATAATGCTGTAAGCAGGCTCTCTTGAGCCTCGTTCATGAACCACAAGCTTAATATGTGCTAGAAGAGATTGAATTTAGTGAGAAATAAAGCAATACAGCCTAGGATAAGATTTTAGTAGCAAATAGAGGACAAATCTGCATATAAGATGTAGAAGTTTAGCTTTCAAATGAGGAATCTTTTGCTATAGTTCAGGGCTGTGGGAAGTTAATTGTCCAAATGAACAGTAAAGATGGGGAATACTTTAGAAATTTAGGGGAAACAGAGCTTACAGTGACATAGAATGGGAGGATGATAGAGAGGAGGCACATCTAGGATTTGAATAAAGATGATGAAGGGCAAAGAATGAAGGTGTGAAGTTGGAAATATGCAAGGCCATGTGGGGACTGTTGGAAAAAAGATTGGCCTGAAGCCAGCCACGTGAAGGCCAATGTTAGGAGGTATTTGTTGAAGAACTAGTGGAGTGTGAATGTGGATAAATGGGATGATCTTTGGCAACATGCATTTTATTTCCAGGCTTTTGTGGACCTTGTCAGTAAGTGAGGTAAAATGATGGGGTTGTAAGTTGGACTTGTTTATCCTTGGATATGTAGTCTTTCCTTCTCACTGAATAGCAGCAGTGTAGCAATAGTAAAGTACATTCAGGAGTTCTAAGAAAAATGAAAAGCAAAACTACCAAGCGTCCTGGTCCAGGATCAGAAGTGTGATCTTTTAGGACCCTTTAAATGATGGAAACCAAGATATCTATGTAGAATTTTGAAAGGAGATGCTGTTAGTGGCAAGATGTGGGTTTGGGAATCATTACATTGAAATGGGAACGATTTAAATATTACATGTGTACAGGTACAAAATGTGACTGAAAAAGGTGACAGTTCCCTAGTGTGATATTGTCATAAAAGAAATATATATTCAGTCTTTGGCCCCGGTTCCTGGCACAGAGCTCCTAAAACACTTGTACAGTCATGTACCGCATAATGACGTTTTGGTCCACAACAGACCAGATACGCATATAGAATGGTGGTCCCATAAGATTAGTTCCGTATAACCTAGGTGTGTAGTAGGATATACCATCTAGGTTTGTGTAAGTACACTCTGTCATGTTCACACAACGATACAATCACCTAAGGATACATTTCTCAGGAAGTACCCCTGTTGTTAAGCGAGGCATGACTGTAGTTTTCTTAGTATAGAAATGTTTATTTCCCTTGTCAGTATAGACAGTGTTTGGTACTCCTCACTGGGCTTTTTTAATACCCAAACTCTTAATGCTACAGTAACTATAAACTTGGTCCCATGCCTTCATCTTGTTTCAGTTTTCACGTTTTTTCAAACATGATCTCATCCAGTCCTCTGTCTTTGTATAATATTTATATACTAATGATTTCCACATTCTTATCTCCAGTTAAGACCTTTCTCAAGATTTGTACATCCAATTGAGTTCTTCATGTCTGTGTTGGATATCTAAAACTCATCTGAAGGTTGATATGCTTTGAAATACATACTTGATTTCCCCACATTCCAAACCTCAGTAATATTTCCCATCGCATTAAAAGGCACAACCCACCTATCCAGTGGCCATGGTCAAATAATTAGGAATAATACTTGATTCCTCATGTTTGTTAACTGCCCCATGTTGAAACCATGAGTGAGCCGTGTCTTTTCTCTCTCCAGATTATATCATGATTTCCTGCACCTTGTTCTCCATTGCTCCCTCAAACCACTTTTCACAATTGGTATCTGCCTCCTTGATCCCTGCTTTCTTGTTCAGTTTTCCCTAACTAGAAAGTATGCTCAGTGAAAATAAGGAATATGTTTCTATATCCTCATCATCAGCACAGTACGTCAGCACAGTACATAGTCATAATTTAATAAGGATTTGTGGATATATGAATGTGTCCCACGTAATTTTGAAACAAATATCCCTCTTTCTTCTGTGGTCTAGGGCTAATAGTAACTTGGTTTTATTTTGTTATCTCCATGCTTTATAAGGTGACATTTAGAAAGCAGCCAAATTTATATTTACTCATTTTGAATGAGCTAACCCTGTGTATACACTGACTGTTTTTACCTTTTATTTTCTTTGTTTGTATTATTTTTTGTTTCTAGCATTCTTTGTTTAGATTATAGTGTTTTACTCTTGTCCAGGTGATAACAAACATATTTATTTGGAGTTTCTTTAAACTGAGGTCATAGTGTTGTCAATAAAGTCAATCTACCCAAAGCTGTTTGTGAAATAATTTTATTCTATACCAAGCTCAAAGGAAGATTCATTCTTCTCTTCTTTCCTAGAAATCAAGAAAGATGCTGGTCATCAACTGGGGCACTTGCAAAATCGAAGATGTCTAAAGAGGATGGAACAATACCATAAACATAATGCATTTGGAAACGTTCATCGGAGTAAAAGTAATTTTCCTTTACGGCAAAAAGATATATCTGACTTACATGGGAAAACTTTGAAATCAAATTTAAGTTTAGTCAACAGGAACAGAAGCTATGAAGTAAAGAACCTTGTTGAAGTTAATAGAAATGCAAAATCCTTCCTCCACACAAAGCATGGGCACTTTCATACTGAAATTAAATTTTCTGAATGTGTAAATTCTACAAACACAAATTTACAATTCATTAAGCATCAAAGAACTCAAAAGACAGATAAACCCCATGTATGCACTGAATGTGGGAAAGCCTTCATCAAGAAGTCTCGCCTCATTGATCATCAGAGAGTCCATACAGGAGAGAAACCTCATGGATGTCCTATATGTGGGAAAGCCTTCTCCAGAAAGTCCAGGCTCACTGAGCATCAGAAGACTCATGTAGGAGAGAAGCGGTATGAATGCACTGAATGTGACAAAGCCTTCCCCAAGAAATCGCGGCTGCTTATTCATCAGAAAATTCATACAGGAGAGAAACCCTATGTATGCAACGACTGTGGAAAAGGCTTCATCAAGAAGTCTCGGCTCATTAATCATCAGAGAGTTCACACAGGAGAGAAGCCTCATGCATGCAGTCTATGTGACAAGGCATTCTCCAGAAAGTCCAGGCTTACTGAGCATCAGAGAACTCATACAGGAGAAAAACCGTATGAATGCACTGAATGTGACAAAACATTCCGCTGGAAATCACAGCTCAATGCACATCAGAAAACTCATACGGGAGAGAAATCATATATATGCAGTGAGTGTGGAAAAGGCTTCATTCAGAAGGGCAATCTCATTGTACATCAGCGAACTCACACTGGAGAGAAACCTTATATATGCAGTGAATGTGGGAAAGGTTTCATTCAGAAGGGCAATCTCCTTATACATCAACGAACTCACACTGGAGAGAAGCCCTATGTATGCACTGAATGTGGGAAAGGCTTCAGCCAGAAGACATGCCTCATCTCACATCAGAGATTCCACACAGGAAAGACTCCCTTTGTATGTACTGAATGTGGAAAATCCTGTTCACACAAGTCTGGTCTCATTAACCATCAGAGAATTCACACAGGAGAGAAACCCTATACATGCAGTGACTGTGGGAAGGCTTTTAGAGATAAGTCATGCCTCAATAGACATCGGAGAACTCATACAGGAGAGAGACCATATGGGTGCTCTGACTGTGGGAAAGCCTTCTCCCACTTGTCATGCCTTGTTTATCATAAGGGAATGCTTCATGCAAGAGAGAAACGTGTAGGTTCAGTCAAGTTGGAGAATCCTTTCTCAAAGACTCACAGCTCTTCACATGCAAATGAACTCTTACAGGAGAAAAACCCTGTTAATATGGTGACCATGCAAATGCCTGCTGTGGCAGCTCAGACTTCCTTCCACATCAGTGGGCTTCTAGCAGATAGGAAGGTAGCCATTGTGGGACAGCCGGGTGCCAGATGTCCACCCTCAGCAGATAATAGAATTTGCACAGAGAAACCTTATGAATGCAGTGAATGTGGTAGTGCCTTCCGTGATCAGTTACGTCATATTTTATGTCACAAGAAACATACAGGAATAAACTGTGGTACAGTCATGGTGGAGAAAACCCTTGAATAAAACCTTCTAGCTTATTATATGGCTGATAAGTGTATACTGTGAGACATAGTATGAATACAGAGACTGGGAAAGCCTTTTGGGGAAAGATAAACCCTACCACTGCTTCTTAGGTCACGTACCATCAGTGAGCTCATATCTGGTAGAACTGTAATGACTGTGGAAAAGTCCTTCCCCAGAAATAAGACTTCAGTAGGTGTCAGAGAGTTCACACAGGATAGAAACTCTTGGACCTTTGAAGACAGTGAATTTGGCAGTGCTGCCCTTGGCACATTCTGCCTCATCAGTTGGCAGAGAAAATCATATAGAAATAAAACTGAACACACCACCTGTGGAACTTCTTCAGCAAAATGTCAGAAAAAAATGCATAAAGGAAATAAGCCCTGTGAAAATGAATACTATTTTAGAGATTTCTGTCAATTCTAACATAATTATACATCTGATAATATACATAGTGTACATTTTAGGACAATATACCTTGAATCAAACTCCTAGTTGATATGTCAGTGACTCAATTCAAACGGGGTTGTGTATGTTACACATCATCAACTAAGGTTGTAACACAATGCATCCCCCTCCCTTTTTGAAGGGCGAGTGTCTTTTTCCACTCAGGGTCATTATATGGTCTTGCATTTCTTCGTTTCTAAGTTTATTCAGTTTATTTCAGACTACTGAAATAGTAGTGATTAACTTTATAAATATCACCCCGGAACAAAGCTCAAAACTCTTGAGTAACCTATTAGCCAAGCTCTTACCATAGAAGACAGTTCCCATCCTGTGCACACACCACTCAGGAAAACTTTAACAACTATTTCCTTTACCTAGTACTGTCTAGGACCTATAGATGATGACAGTAATGAACTAAACAAAAAGTCCTTGCTACCTTTGAGCTAGCAATTTTTTTAAAACTAGATTTCATGCATATAGCAATGTTACCCTCCAGCAAATGTGATCAAAGGCTGTGTACACGTACATTAGTTGAAAGGGACATACAGTATAAGGAACAAAGTGTCCTGATAATTTCTTGTTCAAGGGGCATATTGTTATTATTTGGAGGGGGAGGGAAAGGGATTCACTTAGTTTTACGTACATAACATGGATACTTTTAAAAAATGTTCGTGTCTTGGCTCTCTACCTAGATTAAAACTTCTTTGATAGTTTATAGATAATTGTATATTCCCCAGCACATTGGAAAGTAGAAATGAATTATACATAGATTTGAAAGATGAATGAATGACCTAATTGAGTGATCAAAATTATTTTTGCCACTGAAGGAAAGAAGCTACTGGAAGGAAAGTCTAAGGATCAGTGTTATTCCAAGAAACAATTTTTTAAAATCCTGAATAGAAGCTACTGTCAGAATGTAAAAGGGGCAGATCAGAGAAGGAATAGGACCCATAGAATACATCCAATTAGTGAAGAAAATAGCTTCAAAAATGGAGGGTAGCCTGTGAAATAGGTGAAGGTGAGATCCCTTTGGATGTCTTGGAGAAGAACCCTTGCATTCATCCACAGGTCTGTCACCTAATTTTAGAGTTGCCACCATTTCAAAGATCTTGGCTCCTCTGTGACATGATGAATCGAGATGTGATTTAGCCTTGTCATTCATTCTCACTCTCTTGGGAATGGGGCCCTTGTCGTCTCTTCTATACTCAGGGTTCTTTCCCTTGATCCAATAAAGATTATTCCGCTTAAAAACAGTGAGTCCTGCTTATAAGGAAAAATAAAGTAGAAATTTGCCATGAAGTAGCTGTCTCATAATTGAATTCCAAACTGGGTTTTTGAGTAATTCACAAGAAGTATTTTTTTGAGCATCTGTGCTGTGCCAGGCACTGTTGTAGACACGGGATACACCAGTGAACAAAACACGCAAAGTAATGGCCTCTAACGGCATGGATTCAAGATAGATGCTCTTCAGCAGAGGATCAGAAAGGAGTTCTTCCACTCGGACTTCAGATCCTCTCCACTTTGTCTTACGAATCTGCACGTCTTATCACAGCAGTCATTGCGTCTTTCTCACTGAAACTGTCAGGGTCCCCAATTGGAGTGCCAAGGCCTGCCCTAATCCCTGAGGACCAGGTGCTGAACTCACCTTTCAGAGGTTGATATCCCAGGTAAATAAAAAATGTTAATGGGGTTGACAGTTCCAGATCGCCCTCTTTAAGCAGGCTATATCAACTTAATATCCTCTATGGCTTCACTCCTCCTTCATAACAACTATAGCTAACATTTATTACATATGCTGTTTGCCAAATGTCAACTGCATTATTTAGTTATTTAATGCTCTCAAGTGCTCCATTTCCATCTCCATGTATTTTAGGGAAACATTTGAAGCCTTACGCCTTTCTCCTTAGTACAGGTAACCACATACTGTGTGCAGTTGTATGTGGCCAACAACTGAGAGTACCGAGATCAGGGATGCTGCCTTATATGGCTCAGTGATGGAGAACTGGAGTTGAGGGTGGTTGTGTTCATTTTCTAGGGCTGTCATTACAAAGTACCACAGACTGGGTGGCTTAACAGACATTTTCTTTCTCACAATTCTGGAGGCTAGAAGTCTGAGATCAAAGTGTCAGCATGGTTAGTTTCTTCTGAGGTCTCTCTCCTTGGCTTGTAGATGGCCTTCCTCCTGTGTCTTCACATAGTCTTCCCTCTGTGTCTATCGGTGTCCAAATTTCCTCCTTTTATAAGGGTACCAGTTACATTACCTCTTTAAAGCTCTTATCTCCAAATACAGTCATGTTCTGAGGTACTGAAGGTTATGACTTGAACATACGGATTTGGGGGAACACAATTCAGCCCATAACAGTAGTATTTGTCAACAAATGCCATTCAAGTTTGGAATTTATATTGGGCTACCTGATGGAACTGGCAGGTTGTAAACAGTGTATTTCCCAGGTTTGACAATTGACAGGGTCCTATGGTCAGTATCTGGGGAGGCTCATGGGTGTCTGTAGTTGAGAGGCTAATGCTTTGGAGGCCCAGTCCTGTTCAATGTTACTTTCCCTTCAGTCCTTCAAATAAGTCTAAATCCCTCTTCAAGGACTAGTTATGTATCTGTGTGGTATATATATATTTTTCTCTTTTTTTCTGGAAAAGCAGTTGGCCCCTTTGGGGACAACGTTAAGACATAGCCACTATAGGTAAGAGGAGAGATTCCATTGTATTCAAAGTGCTTTAGGCTGAAAAATGAAGTGGAAGCTCTTCAAGGGTTCCTCAGTGGAGGACCATGGATGCTTGTGGGGAAAGGAGAGTTGACTTTTGAAAGAATTATACCCTGGATGCCTCTAAGTTGCATTCACTGATTCTTCCCTTGACTACCATTGCATTGGGGCTGTGCACCTTTTCCTCTGATGGTGTTACAGAGTCAAATGAGGTTCAGTGGTCTCAACCAAATTGTCCTGATATTTGAGATACAGGATAGGGGCCGGCCTGATGGCACAGTGGTTAAGTGCGCACGTTCTGCTTCGGCGGCCTGGGGTTCACCGGTTCGGATCCCAGGTGCGGACATGGCGCTGCTTGGCAAGCCATGCTGTGGTAGGCGTCCCACATATAAAGTAAAGGGAGATGGGCACAGATGTTAGCTCAGGGCCAGTCTTCCTCAGCAAAACGAGGAGGATTGGCAGCAGTTAGCTCCAGGCTAATCTTCCTCAAAAAAAAAAAAATCTGGAGATACAGGATGGGAGGTGAGGGGCCCTGTGAGTTTAGGGGGTGCAGGAAAGTCACAGAGAGCTCATCAGAGAATGATTTGTGGCCATGTATGGTGGAAGATGAGATCAAGATGATCCAAGAAGTGGGCGATTTATCCCGGGAGCCTTTCACCCAAGCTCCAGAGTCTGGACTGTAGAAAGCCATATGAGTGTTGACCTCGGATCTGCTGCTTTGGGGGCAGACATGGAGCCTGCAGTTTGTGTGTTTCTATGTTTATGGGAGAAAGTGGTTTCATGTGCCACTGAATGTTGTAAGAGATGATTTCAGAGGCTCAGGTCTTGCGTCTCTGACTATATGGCCATCCTCCAAGGGGGCTCTGGGTAGTAAACTCCTTGAAGATAGCAACAGAGCTAAGTTTTATGATGAGGGGATGTGGTAAGGGAATACAGCTGTTGTTAAGGTCATGTGCTTGGAGACGGGCAGAGCTGGGTTCAAATTGTAGCTCTAACACACAGAGTGTTCTTGAGCAAGATATTTAATCCCAAAGCCTTATCATGACATAGTGAAAAATATATATTTGGTCTCTGCTCCTGGTTCCTGACACAGAGCTCCTAAAGCCTTTGTAATCTCCTGAGTGATAGGAGCTTCTTTTGTTCTAATAAGGTGACTCTGGGTGGGCTCCTGGATAGCAGCTGGTCACCAGAAAAACCAAGCCATGATTAGAAGCTTGGAACTTTCAACCCCATCCCCTATACTCTGGGGAAGGGAGAGGGTTTAGAGATTGAGTCAATAATTGATTATTTATTTAAATATATATATGTAATCATTTGAATCTTTTATCTTATATATAATATATATGAAATACATATAGTCATTTGACTCCTTTATCTTTAAAATGTATCCATGAATCCAGGAAAAGTAACATATATATACACCAAATGAGGACTTTCCCTTTTGTGTTGGGGGTCCCCAAGACCGTCCTCAGGTTTGATAATTTGCTGGGAGGACTCACAGTACTCAGAAAGCTTGTTATACTCAGTGTTACATTTATTATAGAAAGGATAGTGATTAAAATCAGCAAAGGAAAAAGGAAAAGCCACACCCACAGTGTGGTTTACTCTGGGGGCCTTGGGCCGGGCTAGATATCAACAATGTGTTTAGAGTGGGGCCTTTAGACCATACCCACAGTATGATTTAGGGTGGGAGCTATGGATCACTTGGTGTCAGTGGACCTCTGGAGGGGCTGGAGACTGAAGTCAGATACCTGGGTGTCCTACCAGACTGACATGATTGAGCCCCAGGAAAGGCTCTGGACGTCAGTACTCAGGTGAGCTTCTCTGGTTGGCAGCACTCCCTACCTACTGTCACAGGTTTATGCCCAGAAAGTAACTGCACTGCAGGAGGACAACTGGAAGCTCCACGTTTGGAACTTTCCTGGACTCTGCCCTTTGTGCCTCTTCTCTTGGTTGATGTTAATCTTGATCCTTTAACTGTAATGAACTCTAACTGTGAGCTCTCGGTGGGTTGTGAGTCCCTCTAGCGAATTATCATGGCTTTATGGAACATTCTCCCTATCTGCAGTAGCTCTGTGCTGCATTTTGGGTAATTTCTAGTTCACTAATGATCCCTTCAAAGCCTCTAATATGCTTTTAACGTATGCACGCATCCGTGTGTGTGCTCGCACCACGTGTATCTCTTTCTTCAGAAATACTTTTTTTCTCAAATCTGCCTGTCTCTTTATCGTTTTCTGTTCTTTAGACATTTTAAAAGACTTTGTTCCTTACAACATTTTAAACACACTATTAAACATGTCGTATCTTATAATTTTGGCATCTGTTGTCTTTACATGGTTAATTCGGATCCACCAAATCTGGGAAGGCCCTTGATGAATGTAGTAATATGTTTTATTAAGCTTGATATCACCCAAATGTGTATAATGTTTGGCAAATAAGTGCTCATCTATATATATATGTGACTCTTGGTTAGCAAGAGGATTTAATGGCTACACATTATAGAAATGTCTACCTTATTGAATAAATGGAATACTGAATATATAATTGCAGAATATTCCAATAGTATTTTCCTTCTACTACAAAGTTTTTTTTAAAAAAAAAAAACGCTTGTATTGATGTAGGCTATATGGTAAAAATAAGCAGTTCCTTCTTTATCCTTTACGTTCCATCTGTATCAATAAAAGGGAAATACTTCATGTTAAATAGGACCACATTATTAGAGGAATCGCTGATGTTGGAGGATGTGGCTGTGGAGTTCACCTGGGAGGAGTGGCAGCTCCTGGCCCCTGCTCAGAAGGACCTGTACCAGGATGTGATGTTGGAGAACTATAGCAACCTGGTGTCCGTGGGTGAGGACAGCTCCCCGCTGTCACTCAGAGGGTGCCCCATCAGTGGCCTTTCCTCTCAGCTGCTTAGTGCTTCAGAGTCTCTGCAGTGCTTTCAAGTGGTAGATTCCCAGACCCTTCTCTGGCTCCAGGCAACAGTGCATATATGTAGTTCCCTCTCCTGAGGGAAAAACCACCACTTTGCAGAGGTGAAACTGTATAGTCCCTAAAATGGAACAATCTCCCATCTTGACGTCCCAGCCCAATTCAGGGTCTGACTCTTCTGTCATTTCCCATGAACAGGGTATCAAGCCAGCAAACCAGATGCACTCTCCAAGTTGGAGCAGGGGGAAGAACCATGGATAGTGGAAGACGAAATCCACAGTCAAACCTGTCCAGGTGAGTGGGTGAGAACCAGCAAGGGAGGAAGCCGAGAAAATCATGTTGTAATCAGTCAGAGTGATGGGGATTTTTGGGCTGCTTAATTTTAAAACAGTTTATGATGAGGATTTTTAGGCTGGTTACTTTTAAAACTACAGATAAGAAGCAGGCTCCAAGGAGTGGAATTTGTTTGCCCTTTGATCAGAGACAATTGCAGTTGTAAAGGAAATCTCCATGCCTCCCTCTCTGGAATTTGTTTGCCCCTTGTTGGGAAAACATTTACATTTCTAAGGGAAACATCTATCTGTGAAGATGCCTCCCCCTCTGAGCCAGGAGGAAGGGGGAATGGGCTTATCTCTGGAAACTGTCTGACAACCTCATGTAACTGACCCCCCACCCCAAAATCCTCCTTTGTCTTTAGTTGAAGATAATATTTGAGCGGTGACTTCTGCCATTTACTCAATCCGGTTTGATTCTTATCTTAAAGTTGTGGGACCGCCAAATGGCCAGACCAAACGGGCACTAATAAAGAGATAACTCACATACCTATGCCTTAAATTTGGCCCTAACCCTCAGTTCGGGGCAGCAGCAGCAGCAGCAGAAGCTCTGACTGCCCATGGGTCCTGTCCCCATGCTACTCCATCTCTATTCTCTAAATAAAAGAGCACTACTGCCAGATCTTGAGAGTCTAAGAAATCTTTCTTTCGACTCCTCGGCTCACCGATCCCGCATCAAGAGAAGGTGCCACGGCTGTGACAGAGTCTGAGGCTATCTATACAGCTGCTCCCTGTAGCCTTCTTCCCGTATGAGAGCTTTGTCTTTGTAGGAGTTTACGGGAAAATACACCCCTTTTTCTTTTTCTGAGATCTGATCCCTGTTTATGTACATTTTGATTTTTTTTTTCTTCTTTGCCTAGTTCTCTATTGTGAGATAATAGAAAATATATATCTTGGTCTCTGCCCCCAGTTCCTGGCACAGAGCTCCTGAAAACCTTGTAATTTCCTGGGTGATAGGACTGTCTTTTGTTCTAATGAGGCAACTCTGGGTGGGCTTCTGCCTGGCTCCTGGATAGGGACTGGTTCCTGGAAAGACCAAGCTGTGATTAGAAGCTTGGAATTTTCAGCCCCACCCCCCATTCGCTTGAGAAGGGCTGAAAATGGAGTTAATGATGGATCATGCCCACATGATGAAGCCTCCATAAAATCAAAAGCTTGGGGTTCAGGGAGCTCCCAGGTTGGCGAGCATATTCACACTGGGAGGGGGACACACCTTAACTTCCCTGGGACAGAACCTTCTGTGCTCAGGACCTCCCAGACCTCTCCCTATGTATCTCCTCATCTGGTTGTTCATCTGTATCCTTTATTACATAATAAACTGATGAACGTTAAGTGTTTCACTGAATTCTGTGAGCTGCTCTAGCAAATTAATAGAACCCAAGGTGGGGGTCTTTGGAACTTCTACTCTATAGTGGTTGGTCAGAAGCCCAGGTGATAACCTGGGCTTATGACTGGCATCTGAAATGTTTGTGTGTGTGTGTGTGGCTGTCTATGTAGGGGGGCAGTCTTGTAGGAATGAGTCCTTACCCTGTGGGATCTGATGCTATCTCTAAGTAGATAGAATCAGAACTGAGTTGAATTGCAGGACACCCAGCTGGTGTGTGGAGAATTGCTTGTTGTGGGGAAAAACCTCCACACATTTGGTGACCAGAGGTGTCAGAAGTAAAATGTTCTGTGTGAATAGTAAAGGAGACTCACAGGAAAGAAACACATAGGAAGGAAAAAACTGTAGGTTTTTCCTTTAATCTTCTTCCTAGGTTTCTCAGATCTCCTCCTTTTTTGTCCATTGCCACAGTGTCTCTGTCTATTTCTTCCACCTCCCTTGCTATGAAATTCCACCTTCCAGGCCTCACTCCAAACAGAGATCTTTGAATTCATAGTCCTCTATCTAGAGAGAGAGACTGCCAAAAGATTGGCCTGAAGACAGCCATGTGAAGGCTAATACTAGATAGTATTTGTGGGGGAAGTAGTGGAATGGAAATGTGGGTAAATGGAGTAATTAAGGCAGCATTAACTTCATTGTCGGGCTGACTGCTTGGAATTTACATATTAGTAACTGACAGGGCATGGTGGATGGGTGGGAAGAGGGTTGGATTTTTCTAGCTCTATGTAGATCAGGTTTCCCTTCCACCTCTCTCTCTCTTCTAACAGTGACTATCTTGTTTTTTCCTATCTCTGCGTGTTTTGCAAGGTGCAATTTAGAAAGCAGCCAAATCTATATGTATTCATTGTGAATTATCTAAGCTTGTTTGTGTACTTACTGCTTTTGTCACTTGATATTTGTGTATTGTGTTTTTACCAATGTCCAAGAAATAAGGAACATTATTAAAGTCTTTTATACTGAGATCATGCAGTCAACACGAAAGAGCCAATGCACACCTAGGCATTCATTGTTCTCTTCTTTCCTAGAAGTTGAAAATGTTGATGATCACTTGTGGGGACACTTGCATAACCAAAGATGTCTAAAGAGAATGGAACAATGGTATGAGCATAAGGCCTGTGAAAACATTGTTCATCCAGACCAACATCATTTTCCTTTAAGGCCAAATCATGGAAAAACTCTGAAATCAAATTTAAGTTTAGTCAATGAGAACACAAGCTGTGAAATAAAGAAGCGTGTTGAGTGTAATGGAGATAGGAAATCCTTTCTCCTTACAAAGCATGAGCAAATTCATACTAAAATTGCCTGAAATTGCAAAACCCATCAGCACTAAGGCTCAGTTTATCAAGCCTCAGAGAGCTCACAAAATTGAGAAACCCCACATAGTCACTGAATGTGGGGAATTCTTCATCAGGAAGTCTCAGTTCACTAAACATCAGAGAATTCACCTGGGAGAGAAACCCCATGGATGCAATAGATGTGAGAAATCATATACCACAAAGTTCAGGCTCACTGAACACCAGAAAACTCATACAGGAGAGAAACCTTATGTATGTGCTGAATGTGGCAAGACCTTTCTCATTGACTCATGTCCCATTTTACATCAGAAAATTCATACTGGAGAGGAACCCTATATATGGAATAATTGTGGATAGGGCTTCACCCAGAAGGTCAGTTTCATTGTACATCAGTGAACTCCGACTGGAGAGAAACTTTATATATGCAGTGAATGCGGACAAGGCTTCATCCAGAAGACAGGTTTCATATCACAACAGGGAGTTCATACAGGCAAGACTCCCTTTGTATGTAGTGACTGGAAAATCCTATTCTCAGAAGTCAGGATCTCATCAAACATCAGAAAATTCACACAGGAGGGAAAGCCTCATAAAGGTAGGAATGTGGGACGCCTTCATCACAAAGCAACAGCTCATTGTCCATCAAAGACCTCGTACAGGAGAGAGATCCTTTGAATGCACTGAGTGTGGGAAAGCTTTTGCCTGTAGTCTTGCCTTATTAAACATAAGAAGATACACACATGGGAGAAACCTGTAGATACAGTGAAGGTGGAAAATCCTTCTGCAGAGTCGCAGCTCCTTACATGCAAGTGAAACCCTGTTAACTCGGTGATTATGCAAATGCCTTCTGTAACCCCTCAGACATCATTAAATATCTGTGAGTTCCTAACAAATAGAAACATATTCCTTTCAGAACAGCCTCTTGCTGGATGTGCACCCTTAGGAGATAGCAGGGAATCTGCATGGAGGAAAAAATGCCCTTATAAATGTAGCAAATGTGGTTGTCTTCAGTGATCAATTCCAACACATTTTATGTCTTAACTCATAGGAAAGAAAGTCAGTTACAATTAACGTAGAATCAGATTGAGCAAAAACATTTTAGCTCATTACACAGCTGATAAGTATGTACTGAGAGAAATCATATGAATGCAGACACAGGAAAAGCCTGATAAACTCATCCTATGTTAAATATGTGTTGATATAGAGACATAATCTGTTAACCCCAGGACCAATACATACCGATCGCTCAATTTTGTCAGCTAATCTCTGGAATGCCTGAGATAATTTAAGTGAAGAAAAACATTACTGAGATTATTGAAAGAGGTAAGTCATTTGGATCTGGATGTTGCTAGAAATGGAAAACTTTAGGAGAAGACGTTGGTCCAAAAAAGCAGTATCTGATTAACGGAACGTGGGGCACATAAATAATACCAGTTCAGTTTTCCAAGGACAGTGTGAAGTATTAATTGAAAACCAGTACATCTATCATTAATTGTCAGGACTTGATACTATTCAGAGGCACCTAAGAAACAATAGCCTTACACTGAATCTATTTGTTCATTCAATGAATTTTTATCAAGTATGTACTTCCTTTGTACCTGTTACTAATCTACCAGCTGAGCACACAGTGGTGAAAGAAAGAGAAATGTCACTGCCCTTGTGGAATGAGCGCTGAGTTAGCTGAATTGTATGTCAGTGGTACCTTCATACTCCTAACGTACTCAGAGTATGTAAACTCTGCATGAGGTGAAATGGACATGGAGTAATTGGATCAAGGAATTTGTATTTAGAATCAGGTAAAGTTAAAAAAATCCTAAAATAAAGTTTTCCCTAAAGAGACTATTATTTATTTGAAAGGGAGAGGTGGGGAGGACTCCTATTAACAACGTGTAAGTTATCCAGGATACAAATGCTTTAAAAAAAAGTCCATGTCTTATCTTCCCACATTGATTACACGTTCCCCGATAGTTTTGCACTAATTCTGTAGCCACTAGCCACATGTGGCTAGGCTATTCAAATGTAAATTAATTAAAATTAAATTAAAAATTTAGTTCCTCAGTATCAATGGCCACATTTCAAGAGCTCAGTAGTTGTTTGTGGCTAGTGACTATGTTATTGGACAGTACAGATGTAGAACATTTCTGTCATCACAGAACAGACTGTTGAACGGTGCTGGTTTATAGAAGCATATATTCCTCATGACATAAAATTAAAACAACTATATATTGATATGGAAGATGAATGTGAATGGACTAAAAGAAAAAGTCTTTTATCATTGTAGAGAATGAGCAATCGGAAGGCAGTTTCTAAAGAATGGAATTGGTCAAAAAGTTTTGTATATCTGTGTTATTAGACTCAATGTCTGTCTGAATATAAATGGAGGCGAGCAGAAAAGGAATAGGATTGTCAGGATAAGTAAAATCAAAATCTTGAAACCCTTGGCTAAGATGGTGGAAAGTATAGAGAGAGGAGGTAAGGTCCCCTGGGGATGTCTTAGAGAAGAAACCTATTTATTTGTTCACAGATGTGTCATCTTCGACAGCCGCTATCATTTCTGAGATGCCATCTCCTCTGTGACCTGCTTAATCGGACATGTGATTTTCCTTCTTTTTCATTCCTTCTTACTGTTATGAGTGGGGCTCTTGTCCTCTCTCCAGAGTCTTTCCTTTGGTCCAATCAAGATATCCTGCCAAAATTTGAGTCCTGCTTAGAGAACAAGAAATGGAAATTTGCTGTGCAGTAGCTGTCTTACATTTCCCTCACAAATCCTGCATTATCAGGTAAATTCACTCCAACATATGTTTTTAAGCAGCTAAGCTTGGCCATCTCAGTACTCAAGATTTTATTCCGTAATGCAATCATTAGATAATTGAGAATGGGAAAATTTCATGATTGATTTGTTTTACCAGGATCGCCTTGCCTGCTCTATGAAGACGAGATAGTACAGGCCGAGGGTGCAAGCAGGGACAATTTTAGTTTCTCAGGTGAGAGACTGGGCTAGCACAGTAATGATGGAGAAGCGAGGAAGGATGGAACTGACTTCCTGCTTTGACCTGCGGTCACATGACTGTATCAGGTGTGTTCTGAGAATTATAATGGCCTGTGGGGTTGAACATAATGCAGGCAAGTAGGTGAACCTGGCATCTGTGTCACAGCCTGTGTTCTCAAGATCTCTGGTTCCTCAGGGGGAGTGAGCCTTCCAGCTCAGGGGTGGGTGGAGGAGGAAAATATGAGCGGGAGCAGGGCTGGAAGTGGGTAGTAGGCCTGCAGATGGCTGGCAAAGACCTCTTGGTGAGGTGATGCAGAACTGCGGGAAGTACAGTTCTTTGAGGTCATTTTATTTTTTGCACATGAACGATCACAGCAGTTCAATATCCCGAACACTGGAAATAACCCGAAGGTCCACCAACTGGTAAATGATTCAACACGTTTTCTAACACCCATACAATGGAATACTAAGCAACAAAAGGGAGCGAACTACTGATATTAAAAACAGTAATGAATTTAAAAACAATTATGCTGTGTGGAAGAAGCCAGATAAAAAGAGTACGTACACTAAGGTTCTATTCGTAAAATGCAGACTATAGTGACAGAAGGCAGTTCTAATCCTGTCTAGGATGTAGCATGTTCTGTACTTGGGCCAGGCAAGTGGCGTGGTTGGGCTGAGGCTGGGAAGAGGCTCACAACGACCATTGTTCCCACTTTGGGATCGCTGCATGCCCCATATCATCTCGCTTTTCCAAACCTTGTTAGTCTTCGAAAGGCACTGCCACCTGCCAGTCCCACGCTGAGCTCCCCGGAACGCGCTTGTTCCGTACGGACGCCGAACCCCCTCAAAGATGGCCGCGCCCATGGGGCCCTTGCCTAACGGCGCAAGCGCCACAGGGCTAAAGCGTGCTAAAGTTTTTATTCGACTTCTAAATCTTTTCGCAATTAGACTAGTGATCGAGGTGTTCAGAAGTTAATTTCCCACCGAGCTGAGACGTCACAGCTTTAAAAGCCGCTCGGAATGTACGCTGCGCCCTTTGGGTCCTAATGGGCTCTGGCCTTCGAAAACTTTGAGCCGTTCACGGTCCCCTACAACGAGGCCCTGGCCGTTCGCAGGTTACCTCCACGTCATGTCTGCCTTGCGTGAGCTCGAGGCTCTAAAACCTCTTCATTTCCCTTTAAAGGCTGAGGTGCGGGAAAATGGGACAGTTTCAGTAGCGGTCTCTCACCGTCACGTCACTGACGCAAAAGCGGCCGCCAAGTTGTACGTTAGGGTCCCAAAGATGGCGGCCTCCAGAGCGCCGAGGCCATGGCGGCGCGAGTATATTACCTCATAAGGAAAAGCTGGAAGCCCGTATTCCGTTGTCCATAGAAACGCGGCAGAAACGTAGCAGCCCCTCGTCGGACGCTTTCCGGAGAGAGGGCTGAGCGAGAAGAGCAGAACTGAAAGAAGTTTAGGGAAGTAAGTTAGGGTGAGAAGAGGCCGCTGCAGGTCCAGGAGGGAATCAGGTCAGTGTGTGCCTCTCTCTGTAGGAAAGGCGGGGAGAGGAGGCGATCTGTCGGCACCTGCGTAGCTTATGGCTCCTGTGAGTCGATGAAGTTAGCGCAGGGCAGGTTTTGTATTTGGAGGAGAGCAGAGAGGAGTCTGTACTGGGTGTTTGTGATCGGGGTGTCTTTGGGGTCAACCATGGGGGGCTCTGGTGGTCAGTAATTAAAGGTCTGAATAGATCAACCACCTGGAGTCCCGAGGTCAGGGTTTAGGGTCTTCGCGGGTCACTCCTCTTGTAGGTGATTGACAACTGGTGGGGTGGTGTTTGTCATTGCATATGGCATCTGGTTCGGGCTCTGGAATAATTTGGAGCTCAGTATTCGAGGAACCGTTAACGGAGGGCAGTGTCCGTGTGTTTCTGGTCTGGTTTCGGTGTTAATCAGGCAGGGTGGTGGCCTTTGTCTTTTGTTCGGAGATGTGTGGCCGCAGAAGGCTCGGAGGCTCAGGAGTCCTGGCTGGGACGTGTGTTGAGCTCAGACTTCGGCTACTGGAACAGACTTGCTGAACGTTAACATTTCCCCGAAAGTTTCAGGTGCAAATCCCTCCTTCACGACTAATTTTCTGATTCCTTATGGCTCCCCACATCATCTCATCCTTTTGAACCCGCAGGAAGGAAAGTTTTGGGGAAGATGAACGATTCAGCATGTTTACAATTCATAAGCTTTTAATTTAAGATTCTGTTTTTATCTTTCCTCCTGCAAGTTTACTGCGTATTTTCTTTCAGGTTCTATATGTGAGTATAAAAGGCTGCTGTTTTCCCAGCATTTATATTTTTGAAATTTATATTTATAGCTTATATTCCTTCTGTCTCTCTTCTTTTTTCGGTGTGCTCATTGTTTCTCATATTGAAGTGTGTGTATAAACAGGGTATATAAAGACTTTTAATAAGGTATGAGGGTAAAAGAGTTTAAAGAAAAAATCTGTTCCTCACCATCCATATGGCCTCATTTCCATAATTGTTCTAAAAATTACCTGCCCCTGAGGCACAGTGCTCTGCGATTCTCCTTTCCCACTTTCCCTTTCACATTCAGGCTACTTTCACTCGTTTGAAGTCTGATGTTTCATTAGCCTGATGTATGACCCTCTGGGGAACGAAATAAAGAGACAGAAATACTGCAGACCACATGTTCAAGTGAGTGCACAGCGAGAGAGAATGTAACCCTGCAAGTAATTTTGCTCTTCAGCCCACAGGTCCTGGCAGGAGACAAGAAATGAATGAAGAAAGAGGAGGATCCAGGACCTTGATATTGTCATTTCTGGGCACACTTTTCACTGGTGACTCAAATTTCTAACTAGAAATTTACAGTGTGTGCAGAAGAGACAGAGCATCTCAGTTGCTGGCCATTCCCCAAAACAGAAGACAATGGTCAGTGCCCAGGTGACTTTTGTCTTGTTTTATTCATTTCTTTATTCCCTAATGGATTTGTAGAGGCTTGTGAAAAATCGGTTCATATACAGAGAGAAATAAGCTTTGATTCTAACTTCCGCATCATGCCAAAGAAGGGTCAAGAATATAGTGCTCATATGCTTTCTAGCAAATGACTAATGTTGGAACACAATGTGTGCCTGAAGGATCCTCTGGGTTATGTTAGCTGTCAGCTTGTGTCTAGTATCTTTGACAGCTAACACAACAAGAGAATCATGCAAAGTTATATGATATGCAATGACTGTGAGGAGGAAGCAGACAGGTTCATCGGACAATGTCAGGATTTCATGGCACTTGGGTCTTGTCAGTAATTTTATTTTCTTCCTAGAGGTGATGGGGTAGACAGTGTTTTGAACAGCAGCCTAATGAAGGCAGAAGCTGATTTCCTAGTGCTACTTTTTATAGGGTTTCTCAGAGACCCCTCTGGGGATGGACCAACAAACTCAGTGGACACGGTTTTTCAGGGGACCAATGCAAGGTCACTCAAAGGACTCAGCTTTGTGTCTGTCTGAGTTTAGCCAGGAATAAAACCTAAATGGTCTAGGTAAATGGAAGGTTGCATGGCTTTCAAATGGTCCTTCATGAACAGCTGGCTGAACTGGCATTAATGTATAGATTGGCATTAGACAGTTGCAAGAGATTTTGTCTGGTAAGGGCTTGAGTTATTGGGTTCTGGGGTGTTTGCTTTATAACTTCACACCATCTCAGAAAATGCAGAATCATTTCTCATTTTCAAAGCCAGTTCTTACCTGCTCTTTTATTGCTTTTATTTTCTGTAGTTACACAAATTACTCCTGGATACATTTTAAAGAAAAAATTTCCGATGATAGAGTGCACATGGGCAAAAAGTAAATTCCTTCTTCATGACGTTCTTCCTCATCCGCTCATACTGCTTTAACAAATGTTTGGTAGTGTGTCCTTGCTGTCACTGAACCTGTGTGTGCATGTGTATATGAGTTTATAAATGTCTTTGGATTTATGTACACATCTGTGTACGTGTACACATCTGTGTACGTAAACACATCTATTAGGACATCTTCTGTATCAATGGAATCGTATTCCAAAGATCATAACCTGTTGGCCTAAAATGGTATAATTTAAGCATCTAAAGGAATAATGCCTGTAATTGTTTGATGAATGGTAACTAAATAGAATTCCATTTATCTATAGGCATAGTCAAAAAAATGCGTTAAACTATGTAAAGCATTTAGGTGAGTGCCTGCTACATAGTAAGTGATGTGTGGGATCCTCCATGCCTTAAATCTTTGCCAGTACTTAATAACAGGATATTATCAAACTGCATAATTTTAAACAATCTGAATGGTCCAATATTCTTTTGCCTTATTTTCCATTTTCCTCATCGTGGGTGAGGTTGAAATCCTTCTTGTAGATTTGTTGGCCAGCTAGATTTTTTTCTCATGCAAAATGCCTGTTCTTATCATTTTTACATTAAAAAAACTAATTTTTTAATGATTAATAGGAGTTGTTTATATCTACTATATTTGATCCTTTCTTTTATTTATATAAAATATTTTCCCCTCGTTACTTTTCTCTTAGGTTTGTCCATATCTTTTTCAATGCAGATGCTTTAATTTTTCCTCTCATAAAATCTATTTATTTTTTATGGTTTTTGGCTTGTGACATGAATATACTTCACATTTGCCTGTATTGCTTTTATAGATTCTTTGTTTTATGGTTAGGACTTGAAATAGGAAAAGATATTTTTGAGCATGAAATTAGATAGGAACCTAAGTTTTTCTTTTTCCAAAGGATCTACATCTCACATGAAATAATTCAGAAGGTGATAAAATCACTGGTGTTAAGAATTTGCAGCCTCTGCTACGTCTGCTCTCTTCTTTATGTAGTAATCTGTACAGGAACATGGGGAGAGGTTGTCTCATAACTTTTTCCCTGATCTGGTGGTTCAGTTACAAGCAGGTCTCAATTCATTCCATGGTGTCATTCGGGCCACAAGATCAGGACATTGAAGATATTCCACACTTCTGACCTGTTTTTATTCACAGCATCTCTGACACTAAATGTGTGGGTATTTTCCTCATACCTACCAATCCTCAACTCTCCGGACACCAACTGGCTGTCCTACAACTCAACTCAATTCTGTCCTGCTATTCAACTCAATAACTACCAGGAGGCAGCAGAGACTCTACAGGTTAAGGACTTGGTCCACAAGACGATCCCCATTCTTGGTGCACTCGAAAGTCCCAAGTTGTCACCTGTACTTTTTATGACCAGCTCTAAATTTGGAGCTTCCTGCAACCCACTTCTCTGGTTTGGTAATTTGCCAGATGACTCACATTCTCACAGCACTCAGGAAAGCGATTTACTTCCATTTACTGGTTTATTATGAAGGCTACAACTCAGCAATAGCCAGATGGGAGAGATGAATAGGGCACGATATGGGGGAGGGGGTGCAGAAGTTCTCTCAAGAAACACCACCCTGCCAGCACCTCAGTTGTGTTCACCAAACCGGAAGTTTCCCAGACCTGTTGTTTAAGAGTTTTGATGGTGGTTTTACTATGTAGATTGAGTAAATCACTGGCCCTTGGGGATTGAACTCAACCTCCAGTCCCTCTTCCCTCCCTGGAGGTTGGGGTCTTTCTGGCCACCAGCCCCCATCCTGAAGCTCCCTAGGGGCCCCCAGCCACCAGTCCTCTCATTAGCTCACAGAAGACTCTCATCACTGTGGAGATTCCAGGGGTTTTAGGAACTGTGTGCCAGGAACCAGGGACGAAGACTAAATATATATCTATCATAATATTTGGGGGCTTCTGTTTATTTCAGTAAATTTGGTCTTTCTGTTGATGGGAATGAGTCTTTTCTTTCTGGTTGTTTTTATCATCCGACTTTTGCAATTGCTGTTCCACAGTTGCAGTCTGACATGTCCAGATGCAGAGTTCCTGCCTGGCTTTGCTGACTTTCTCAGTCTGAGTTATAGGATGTTGATTCAGTTCTGATATTTTCTCCTGAGATTTTCGTTTTGCTTCTCTGCTTTTCTATAATCTCTTTCAAAAACTATGTACAGGCATATGTTAGACCTCACTCTATCCTCCATATTTATTGAACTCTCCTTTAGATTTTCGATCTCTTTGTGTATTTGCTTCATTTTTTGGTTATTTTTTAAAATGCATATTCCAGTTCACTAATTTTCTCTTCAGTGTATCTAAGATACACTTTCACTTTTTGTGAAATAATAAGAAATATATACATCGGTTTCTGCCCGAAGTTCCTGTCACAGGGCTCCTAAAACCCTTGTAAATAGGGGTCTTTGACCCCAGTTCCTGGCAGAGAGCCCCTAAAACTCTCATAATTTCCTACGTGAAAGCACTAGGAGCATCTTTTATTCTAGTATTTGGTCTTTGACCCTGGTTCCTGACAGTGAGCCCCTAAATCCCTTGGGATTTCCTGGGTGACAGGACAGTCTTCTGTTCTGTTGAGGTGACTTGGTGGGCTCCTGGTTGGGGGCTGGTCACCAGAACGACCAAGCCATGAACAGAAGCTTGGAATTTTCAGCCCTATCCCCCATTATCCAAAGAGAGGAGAGGAGCTAGAAATAGAGATAATGGTCAATCATGCCTGTGTGATGAAGCCTCCATAAAAATCCCAATGATCTGGGGTTTAGAGAGCTTTCTGGGTTGGTGAACATGTGCAGGTGCTGGGAGAGTGGCACACCCCTTCCCACATACCTTACCCTATGCATGTCTTCTCTCTGGATGAAATCTGTATCCTTTATCATATCCTTTTGTAATAAACTGGTTAACAATAAGTAAACTGTTTTCCTGAGTTCTCTGAGCTGCTTTAGCAAATTAATCAAACCCAAGGAGCGGGTTGTTGGAACTCCAATCTGTAGCTGGTTAGACAGAAGCACAGGTGACAACCTGGACTTGCATTTGGAGTCTGAAGTAGGGGTAGGGGACAGTCCTGTGGGACTGAGCCCTTAATCTGTGGGATCTCATGCTATCTCCAAGTAGATAGTGTTAGAATTGAGTTGAATTGTAGGACACCCACCTGATTTCAGAGAATTGCTTGGTGGTTTGTTGAAAACACACGCACACGTCGGAATTGGTGTCAGAGTTGTGGTTAATAT